TTGTTCAGAGCAATTTCGACCGATTGCACGCCGGTGCTGGGTTACTCCACAAAACGAACCGATTGCCAACGTTGGTCTTATATCTAGCAAGTAGAGGCCAAATCAGCTGAAATTTGTGATGATTAAAATTGTCATAAAAACAATAAGTAAAATGAACTGATGACATACCAGTAACAATCTTATTGTCTAATGTGGGCAACCTCTGCATGCACCTATCAACCCTCTATCTGAGGCATCACCGAAAGAAAAAAAACCTTGAGCACTGCATGGAATGCTCTAATTTTTGTCGATTAGACAGTTTCCCATAGCAAAGAAGGGAAGATTGTAGATTCTGTTCCAAAAATGAAAAATCTTATGGAAGTGTTTTTACAAAAGATAATAGCTCTCCCGTTGGGTCGATTTATTTTTGTCAAGAAATCACATTTCTAGGCGTGTCTAACGACTAAGTTTCTTATCCCAAGTCGGCGAAAATTATTTGTCCATAAAGCGACGGCACGAGTGCCGCAGATATGACCTCTGGGTTATCAACACTTTAAATTGTCGGTAAGACAGAATTCGAGGATTTGACGGAATTCGCGCTATTTGTTTATTTACGACGCATTTGATTGCATTTGGAGCAAAATATGTTTAAAGTTTAAGTTTATCAACGGATAAATGAAAGTTTCAATGATCGTCTGAAAGGAAATGTTCACATATCTTAAGTTTTTACTTGGGTGCAATGTGATTTTTTTGGTAGTCACTGACGTCAGTATTATAGAAAAAAAAGCCCATAATTGTTCCATATGTGTAAACTTTCCAACCGATTTCCTTCAATTTTGAATCATGAAAGTGTATAATAATGATGATCAATGTGACTTTCTGATGTTCAGTTGAATAGTGATGGCTTGTGAGTTTCTTCTCATCTCTGTTTTAAAGACCTTGAATCCATTTGTGATCATCAGTTCAGTAATGAAGTGTTAAGCCGTGAAATCAGAGCACAGGGGGCCTCTACGACCTTATTTATTTTGGTTCTGAAAAGCAAAGCGCATAATGTCAAGGTGAAGGATAAAGAATTACAATGTGGTCATTTAGCTTGAATAAAACTTTCTTATACTTCGCCTTACTATTAAAGTTATAAATTCGGAGTTTTCAATAAACAGTTTTAAGCTTTAAAAAATATATATATCTTTTTCTTCTCGGCGGTCATTTCAGACAACATCAGGATTCCTTCTGTCAAAAGAGATCTTTCCTAAGCGACAACTGAAATTAAGGAAAGCCTCTTAGGAAGTCAAAGATTAAAATTTCATTCATCTGAAGCATGGATGGGTCTCAATTGTGTATTAATTAATCTTCAAGAAAACGCGGCGGGATGTCGTTTGAGTGGATCGAAGCGGCGCAGATAAACACAGGATATCGATCTTTAGCTCTTGATGATACCTGATTGATCTTATTCAGCCAGATGTGAAGTTTGAACTCGGCCCTATCGAAGGAGTGTACGTGCATACCACAGAAAGGAGTGGCGCTTGGTAACTCTCTCGTCTTGAAAACTTTTTTATTCAATCTTGTCATCTTGCAAGCCTTTGCAGAGAGTCTAGTCTCACATTTCTTTCAAAGTGGAAATGCAGCTTAGGAACCTTGGAAGTATAGATAGTGCTAAGCGAAATAAAACCATGCGTGGGAATATGGCAATGTGACAGCTGCTATCGCTGATTGCTCGCAAAATAAGTGAATTACAGAGTATGGCACCTCTAACATACTAAGTTTTCTTGTCATTAATCGTACCCTATAATAATCCGAGTATAGCAACCCTAATAATATTGAGATATAAAGCTTACTTCTTACTCTTTGTTTCGTTCGTGCCTTCAATTCTATAACACGAGTGTAAGCTGCCAGCTATGTCAAAACTTGATCATCTATCTGTATCATATGAATACCCATTTTTTTCGAATTATCTTTTTTTTCTCCATTTTCTGGAAAGAAATTAATCACTGCTGGAATTTTCCTGTCTGTAATTGATCTAATCCAAGATGATTGATTGTTTAAATTTATTAGCCACTGAGAATTATCCCCAAGGTGAGAGGAACTTTAATGAGCTTTACACATTACAAGAATACATTTGTTGAAACAAATCGCACGTTTACATTCATCCTCCAGGCACTTTGATTATTTTAAGTCAATCTCTGAAAGAACTCTCATATGGTGTGTGTGATTTATCTACGGCTGATCTACCGACATTAACAGGATCATTGGAATTAATTGGCGCTTAGTAATAATCCTATTACGATGTCAGATATTCCTAATATGGCCATCTGAATAGCTTTTCATTAGTATCATATGTGCGATCAGTCAACAGCTATAATCGATGTAAGATTCAGCCAAGACTCCACGCATACTCCCGCATCCAAACGGAATAATGATGATCAAAAGAATTGACAAAACGTTTTTATAATTTTCCTCTGAGAGGAAATTTATTAGCCCTCCCCTCCCCTCCCCCTTGGTGATATTCAACTGCTTCAACTAAACCTGGAGACAAAAACTTACTAGAGCTGAAAGGAAGACTGATGTTTCAAATGGAGATCTAAACTGACCTAGTCTGTTAGATTTCCAGCCAACGATTGTATCAACTCGGTAATACGCACAGCAATAAGCATTTGGGCATATAAGCAAAGCAACGAACGTTAAAAACCCACTGATTTTTAGAAGAGAGATTACACTGATCAAAAAGTGAATATGTTCAGCCTCTCAAAGGCGCTTTCTCACGACAGAGTAATATCAAGAAGTGTTTTAGAGCTATTACTCATGATCTGATGCAGACTTTTCGATGAAAAAGAAAAATACAACAACATCGTTATCAACTACAATAAAATCAGTCACCGTTAACTTTACTCTGACAAGTATTAAGGTAACATCCCTTAGCTATCACATAGCCGGCTATCATATGCAGTAAAAATTAATTTTCCGATGGAATTAACTTTTGCCAAACGTTCCTGGAAAAGCTTAACCCCTGTCAAGTCGCTAAATGAACCCTTTGCCTAAAATCATTTACCTCCAGATTAGAAAAAAAACGTGGCGAAGGACTAATCTAGGCGGTACTGGGACAACAGAAAGTTATGCGTAAAGATGGTAGTGCGGAGGTACTAAAGGACTGCTAAGGAACACATCCATCCATTAGACAAGAAGCGGAAACCAGAGCGAGTCTAGAAAATTCCTGTAGCTGGATCCGAGTGTTAATTTACATGAGCTAATCTCTGTCTGAGTGGGGCTGTGGGCCACTTCCTGCACGCAATGTTCTTTAACAACAAAACATTGGCAAAACTTCCGCAATTGCTTCATTCCCAAACGCGAATTCATTCGTTCAAAGCCTATTTGATTAATCTAGAAACGAAATTTTCTCACATGTATATAATACTATCAACGCCCTAAAATTAACTGAATCCTAACTGATAATGAGTAAATTCTATTAAGTTTTTGCTATTTATAGTTAACAGATTTAAGACTACGCCTAGGGCATAAGTGGGTTGCATTAGCACTTGGCAACCATTCAATGAAATAACAGCACATTCTAACATGTTTGCTGGCACCACATCCACAGATGTGAGGGTTAGGCGAAAATAAGGAAAGCTCTTTGAGTTCTACCACTATTGCAAGTGAGTGATGAAAATTATATCTAAGGTCATAAACTCGTTCAGAGAGAGAGAGAGAGAGAGAGAGAGAGAGAGAGAGAGAGAGAGAGAGAGAGAGAGAGAGAGAGAGTATGGTTGAGGAGGGGGGAGGGGAATGGATAAGATTGTGACCGTTTTTTCAATAATCCTTCTCTCCTGGACAATATGAGCCTGATCAGTGTAAACAATCCAAGAGAAAGCAGAAAAGCTGTCTTAACATAGACAAATGTTAAAGCTCTTGTGATCCATTGGGACAGATTTTAAACTCGTGATTTATAATTGTTATAACTATATCCTATTCACCTAAAGACTGTTGAGTGATAATACGAATAACAATATATGCGCGATGCATACGGCACTATGTTCAGCTTAAGACAAAACCCAACCATCAATAATGCCGGCCATATGACACAGCTTGTTATGTCCGCATGTGTACCTTGTCTTTTCATTCTTTTTCTTCAAACTGCATGCAACATATCTTTCATAATGTTGTGCTCTTCTTATGGTAAGTGGACTGAAAGGCTTAAAGTGACTCGAGTAATACCCTGTTGAACGGATCTCACGAACGCACGTGGTGAGTATCAAATGGCACATACGATACCTGTGAGCTGAGGTTGGAGTTTTTATAAGGAAGTTGTTCAGTCAGAGATCACAAATGACGTCAATGTGCTAAGAACAAGAAAGTGGCACACATCTATTACAGAAAGATTCATGGCAACTTATTTTATGATTAAGACGCAAAAAGTTGTAAATGGCGACGTCATCTACGCGTCTTTCCTCCAATAGATTATAAGACAGAACCAATCAAAATTATATTGCCTCTTTTTGACTTTAAACCAGAGCAGGGCAACCTTATCAAGGCAAAAAGCAGGATATCCTAGGTTTGCTTTGGGAGCCAGAAAAAGTACTTATAGAAAATGAAAACAGGTGAGTTGTGTCGTCGGCGAGATACTGCCGGGAGAGTTGTTTTATCACGTCTAACCAGCTTAATTACGAATAAAATGCTTACATTCATCATGGAGGAAATGAATCTCTCTCTCTCTCTCTCTCTCTCTAAGAGTAGAGCAAATACAGATTTTCTTCCTAGAAGCCTTTCCTTGAAAAATCCTATAGGGGATTTCTGATCAAGTATCACACGGATGACTTGTGAACAAACAAGCGAAAAAAACAATTTTCAGATTACAGTATTTACACTTTTCCCCATACATCAAGTCAGAATATAACAGAGTGAACGGGAAAACGAATTACTGAAACTTGTGTTTGTAGGAAACTAATCTTCTATCGTCCTGGCTTAGGGAGTATCCGCTTAGGATAAATATAATGAATGTGTAAAATAGTATTAAATAAAGAGGAGGAAAATGTTGTCAGCGGTTTCCCTTCTATTCCTACCATTATCACACTAAAAGAACAGCCGTCTGGGAGGAGTCCCTAACCCCCTTCTTGGTTTGGCAAACGGGAAAATTATTGTATCTGTTTGACTTTGCAAAGATTTCCGATTGGCAAACATTTTTGACACAGACAGAGGAAACCAAAGTGATTCTGCTCATTTGACGGCAGCAGTGCTCTAACTAACATTATTTGTTACGTTACTCGCATTTTCTAACAATTGTGAGACAAGGTTATAACAACCGATACACGATGCCCGCAATCGGCTGCTTTCCTTGAATATTGTCACTATCTCATGAACTATTGCTTTAAATTTTACAGAATTAGAACAGAACTTGACCAACGGAAACCAGTACAGCAATTTAAGTGGTTACATCATATTATACTACCAAGCTATCAAGTAACCAAGTCACCATTTCAAAGATATTTTTGACGCCCAACACTTAAAAGACCTTTACAAGTGGAAAAAATTTTCAGGTTTACTCACATAAACAAGATAGTTTTCCTCAGTGTAACAGGAACTTAAAAGTCAGGGAAACGAAAGCGTTGTCTTGAACTTGATGTGAAATACATGTACATCTTAGAAGCTCACTAATAAATAATGTGCTGCTGAATATATACAACTATCAATTTTAAAACCAGCATCGGTACTGTGCTAGCACTCAGTGGGAAAGCATAGGCACAGCGTGGCACAAGTATTGGACCAGCATTGGTGCTGTATCATGTACTTCATTCATTTATTTCCGCTATATTTTACCCAAACCAAGCGTTTCTTTTTGTTTTTGTCAAGAAAGGGTCTTCAAAGACAATTCTTCATATTTCAATTCTGCGTTCATATCAGCCCGCTCTCTTCCTCCAGGCTGTCTGTATTGCTGTTGTCTGTTTCCTTATCCTCTGCTTTCTGTTGGTGAAGCCACATGTTCGCATACACACCGCCTTCTGATACCAACTCCTCGTGTCTGTCATTAATAAAAGAAGAAAGAAGAAAAAACACCATCAACGTAAGTTCTATCGCACATATAACAACCAAAAAAAAAAGAGAAAAAACAAACAAGAAAAATGCCGGCCTTTACCTTCCTCTTTCGATAATCTCGCCCTCGCGCACAACAAGAATCTGATCTGCGTTTACAATCGTGGATAATCTAAAGGAGATAAAAGCTGTCAAATTATTTTCCACAAAGGGGGTAAGTTTCTAAACAAAATGTGGTGCTGCGTCGGGTGGGAGATTATAACAGGGTAATTTAGTATTATCAACTGAGTTGATAACGTAAATTGGTCACCGTAAAGAGTTTTAAAGCTGACGTTCCAAGCTTATCGTAACCAGAAATAGGTGAACTTGGCAAGAACTATGGAGAGAAAATTGACAAGAACAAGACACACACAGAATGTTTTCACTTTGCTTACCTGTGGGCAACTACAATTGTAGTTCTGTTGACGCACATTCTGTTAAGTGAGGCCTGAATGTTACGTTCAGTCTGAGTGTCTAACGCTGAGGTTGCCTGGAATAAAATAAAACAAACCATAAGTGAGCGATTGTTTGTTTGTTTGTTTTTTTGTTATAAAGAGAAGAAAATCACCTAAAGCCGCAGTGAGGGTAAATACCTCATCTAGGAGAACAAGCGGCGGGTTCTTCAGCAGTGTTCTGGCTATTGCAACACGCTGTTTCTCTCCTCCGCTTAGTTTAAGCCCGCGCTCACCAACGACTGTCTGATAACCTGACGAAAAGGATTGTTATTAGGTATTGTGATACATGCAATAGTAACAGTGTTACAATTTATTTATGTAGTTGTTCAACACCTACCATTGGGGAAAGTTAAAATCCTATCATGAATGTCGGCTGCTGCTGCGGCTTCCTCTACCTCCGTTTCAGAGGCGGTTATTCTGCCATATTGAATGTTGAACCTGACAGAAAACACATGGAAAAGTATCTCTCGGGAACTCACTATCCAAGCTACAAGTTGAGAAAACACAGTTCTTGTGAAATCACAGTTCACTGGAGCAAGAAATGCTGGTATGAGCGAAAAAAGAGAGACAAACATCTAGGGGGCAAAACTTTTCCTTGATAGGGCCTCTGGTGTGGTGGTTTCTAAAGTGTTATTCTCATGGTTATTGATAAGTTTGCACTAACACCCGGCTCCCTCCCTCATATGATCCCACCTTCCCAACTAAGTGTTATTCTCATGGTTATTGATAAGTTTCCACTAACACCTCCCTCCCTCATATCCCACCTTCCCAACTTGTCCTTCCCATAACGTTATCCCGCCCGCACTACCTTATGTTGTTGTTAAATAGGACTGTGTCCTGAGGAACCACTCCTATGGCATTACGGAGAGACTTCTGAGTGACCTGGAGAGAACGCAGAAAATGACAGAGGTGTTTTTCATTTAGTATAAATGAATAAACTACTTAAGGTCTCCTGCTGTTTGTCTTACGCCGTTTAACTTCTGATAGACTTCAACAAATCCCCTTACGCATCCCTGAAAAATCGTTTGCGCGGGCCGATTACTTTGGATTCGCGCAACGGATTAAGCTGCCAAAGACGGATGTATGTAGAATTCCACAATAGAAGACTCTTTCAGTTTCTCCCCAGCCGTTAGGAAATATAAAGCTATGATTGACACAATTGGATGTGCACTCGTCACTGTGAAGGTTTGTACGTTGTTTCATTCTCATTTCAATAAATTCTTTTTATGACAAACGAGTCCTTGTTTTGCACTTTCAAGAGAACAGAGGACTCTTAATAAAAAATTACCATCATCCCTCCTCCTCTCCCCCTCCCCCCGGAGCAGCGGTTTCTTAATTTATACGCCTTAGAAGCGGGAAGCTTATAAAGGTTGGGCTGGCAGGGTTACGTAGGCCACACTGTAAGTTAATGTAAGAAATAACATAAGAGACCTCTGCGATATTTTGTCCATCAATAGAGATCGTTCCCGAGTCCAGGTCATAGAAGCGATAGAGAAGTCGTATAATGGTACTTTTACCACTCCCAGATGGACCAACAAGTGCTAACGTCTGACCAGGATACACTGTGAAAGTCACATCCTTCAGAATTTGTTTTCTGTGATTTAAAAAGAACTTAAGTCACCACTTTGCAGAGCATTTCTGTCTCAAGCATGTTGACAAGCACAAGTGGGGGGGGGGGGGGGGGAAGAGGGGGAAGGGGGATGGGTGGGGAAAATACTTTTCTAAACTGATCGGTAACGCAGCTCTGGATTCCACCAGGGGACCAAAGATCTCCACGGACAAATGTTATTCAAACTACTTTCTTGTCGTACCCTGTACTCGTATCACAAAAGACAAATCGAGAAGGAAAAATAAGTATCGGTTACAAAACGTTTCAGAGTCACATACACACTGCGGGACTGTGGAAAAGTGACATAATTAATCAAGTAAAAATCTACTTCAACTTTCACATGTGGCTCCTTATTCCTCTTACTCATCATTTGCAGTATATTTTCTCAAAGCACACTTACTGTGGATTGTAGGAAAAGTTGACTTGTCGAAACTCTATCAGACCACTAGGTACTTGTAGATCTGGGGCATGGGGTACATCTAGTACCTGTCAAAACAAATATCATAAAGGTCACCTTTACTGCTTGTTATTTATAGACGCAGATGCAGAAATTTGACAACTTTCCCCACGAGAAACGTGATGCACGAGCATCAGAAATGTGGCCGCCTTTCTTTAGTTAGAAGTGATTAGTAGGATCGCCCTGTCGAATGGAACGGATCCAAACTAAACGAAATTTCAAAATAACAATTGGTGAAGGCACCATTCATGGTATGTTACCTGTCTTTTCTGTTGAAAGAGATCAAACATGTTTTCCATGTCAATAAATGACTGCTGAATCATTCTGAAGTTAAAAAGTACAAGCTCTGTTTTAGTTCAGTAACTCAAATGATCAAAGTACATATATGAATAAAAAAGCCTTTATCTGAAAGACATTTCAATGTGTTATAAAAATATATTGCAGCTCCGTTTTAGAATAGTTCTTAATGTTTGCAGTTCTAGCTTCTCTTGAGTGTTAGCATGCTTATTGCATTCCACAAACTTCACTAGTTTGTGTAGTCTCTTCACTCACCTGTAGTAAGTTCCAAAATAATTGAGAGGCACATAGAGCTGAAGTGTGTATGTTACAAATAACACAAAGTCCCCAACCTATAGAGAAATGTGACAATTCTCAGCTGTCTTTTTAAGTAATTTGTACACAAATCTGAGATTAAGCTTGGTAAGCTTAAGATTCAGTTGGTGGAGGCACTGCAATCAAAACTCTACACTAAGTCTTCCTTAAATGTACATAATCTAAAGAACTCTGATGTTCCAATATTCCTCAGTTCAAAGTAACTGTATGTCTTCATGTCTTTCATGTCAAAATTCCACCAGGTATTTTGTGTCTAAAAGCTCTGGAGGGTTTGGTCAGCTGACATACCCCAAGCTGTCCATCAGTCACCAACTTGGCACAGTACAATGTCCCGCCCAAAAGACCACCTGTGATTACAGAGTTTTGTGCTGTGTTCAGAAGAGCAAGGGAGGCAATGGTGTCCCACTCACACTTCTATAAAAAAAATAGTAAAGAAATAAAGTAATAAATCCACACAGAATATGTTTATTGTTATCATATATAGACAACTGATTCTCAGATATGTATCCTTTTGGAATGAAAGAATGACCAGAATAGAAACAAAAACTGAAGACTTGAAAGTCACAATGTGTTTATACCTGATAGTCTTCAATAGCCATGTTCAGTCTCTCTACTTCATAGTCTTCTCCACTGTAATATTTCACCTGGTAAAATGAAAGGGCACACATCATCTTCAGCCTGTGGCCCAAACCACCAGTGCCTATTCTAGCTTCTGTAACATAAAGTGATTAAGTCTACTGCTAATTCCCCTGGATGGGATACTAATCCATCACTGTTTGCCACCCAACAGGTTTTCATGACACTTCCAAGGTACCCATTTAAACTCTGAGGTAGGGAGACACACTATTAGAGTAAAGTGTCATGCCCAAGAACAAAACACAATGACCCAGCCATAGCCCAAGCCCACACTCCTCTACCCAAAGTCCAGCCCACTAACCATAAGGCCAATGTATCTCCCAAGTTTTACCTTATGAGTCTCATCAAATGGTACCTTCTCCATACAGTACCAAAGCAATATTGTGCAAAAAAGCAGTGAGATTACCACCTGTCATCAGCCTGTATACATTATACATTCACCTGACTGTGACCTAACGTGTGAAGTTGCATTAAGCTATGAATTCTTAAGTTCTCATTGCAATGTGCTATTGACAATAACAAACTTCTGTGAGGATGTATTTACAACTCACAGTTTCAAAGTTCAATAAAGAATCAACAGCTTTTGCTTTGGCTGCATTGTCTTTCTCATTCATCTCACGTCGATACTTTGTTCGCCACTCAGTGATAAGAACTGTTATGGCTGAATGGAAAAAAAAGTTTTGTTAATATAATAATTAGTGCATTAAATAAACTGGCATGTGTTAAAATACATTGGATAGAAGAGCAAATTGTTTAATTCATTTTTCAGTATCATCTCACCAATGTACAAAGCCATAGTCAAGAAAATCAACAGTCCAAACCAGCCATTGAAAGCAACAATGAAGTAAACAACAGCTACTCCAATATCAGCAAAAGTGGGAAGAATGGTAAACAGGAGGTAACTAGAACATGAAAAAAAAAATTAATTAAAAAATGAAGAAAAATAAATCATTACTTTGCAGTAGAACTGGGTAATAACATCTGTATCTTCATATATTCCCTCACTGTTAAGTTCAATTACTGAATTAACATTCACATGGCAAAATTTGCACGTATTAATAAGAATTGAACATAATTCAAGTAAGAAATTAGAAACATTTGATGGACTCTTCAAGAATGACAGTAAAAATCACACTTTAAAAGGTTGTAAATACTGTTGGCTCCTCTGTCCACCATTCTGATAACTTCGCCAGTTTTACGATTCAAATGCCAGTGGAGTGACAGGCTGCAATAATTAAAACATGAGAACCAGTAAATATACTAGAAAACTAAATTTAAAACTTCACCCTGTATTATGTCAAAATCTCTTATGAGACCTATAACACAAAGACTAACAAATAAAGTCATTTGTGACTTTGAATTAATGTTTTTTTTGTATTCTGCTACACCTGCAACTGCGAAACATGTACTATATCTTTCCAACAAAAAGGAACCTTCAGCACAACCAAGTAAAGGAAAATTCAATCACCATAGACATACAGATAAACTCTCCAACAAGAAAATGTATTTTTGCTAAATTTGTACTTAAACAGTGTTTGTAGCAGATTTCTCCTGATTTGGGAGTATGCTAACTATGGTACGTTGAACTTCATAGTCTGACCTATGTAGATGAGCAAAGAGCTGCACTTGTAAAGTCCTGCTGGTAAACTGTTGGATCTTTATCCACAGAAAGGATTTGATGTTATTCAACAAACCAATACCACCAGTACCACCTCCTTGTAAAAACCTTAAAGCTACGTAAATCAAAATCAGGTGCCATGGATCTGTTATCTTTGCTTCCTTTCCAGGTGTGAGACGGTTCACTGAAAATATAACCCAGACAAATGAGACACTGGATACGTCATTAGGAACATAATCAGGATCCTGATTGATAGACCAGGAATTCTGTGTCAAAGTTTTTGGTGAAAACAACCTATCAGCCACATCTCATAACACAGATAGGAAGAAATACAATAAATCTGGCAACTTGACCATATTTTGAGTAGCTATTAAGTTAAATGTTGCTGTTAATAATACTGACAATAATGATACATTCCATGAAGTCCACATACCTATAATTTTGTACATGAATGGAACAAGAACATTTCCAGCTCTTCCAGCGCCAAGAATGAAGAAACACAGGACAACCCTTAACTGTAGCCACCTTGTGAAAAAATTAACCCAGTAAGAAAATTGTTTAAAAATCAAAAACACTCAACTATTGCAATCACAAGATCTCAGAAGTAAATGTTCTTGCTGTCTGTGATGAAGTTTATTAAATGTCAGTTCAGATAATTTCTTGTTGTTAAATCAAAACATCACCCAGCTTTGATATTTTCCTTGTTCTCAGCACCTGTCTTCATGATATCATACTGAGATCTTTAAGAAAAATTATTTCATGGTCACTCCCAGGGGTATTAGAGTCAAGCCATGTAGATGAACCTAGTCTGCTACATGTTTAATTAACTTTTGTTTTACCTGTCTGAGGGCCATAAGAAAGGCCACAGCAACTTTGTTTTCTTCCAGATACCTTTAAAAGCTGACTCTCCTCGACGGTCCAATGCCTAAAACAAGAAAAATGGCTCCTTGAGCAAAGTTACCTCCCCAACAAAATTATTATCAACAAACTCATCTGAATGGTTTGTGAGAACATACACAAGAAAATGAGGTAATGTTTAAAATTAATTTTTGTCCTGTGTTAAGGTACACTGATGGTCTCCTTGAAGGAGAATATTTAAAAAAATTGCTGTCATGTTTTTCCATGAAGATACCTATAATCAGGGCTACCAATCAAGCACAGTGAATTTTAAACATTCAAAAGGAAAAGTGAGATCACTTGCAAAAACTTGTATTACCGTTGATCCTTCCAGAAACTTTTGCTCTTCCTCAACAGGAACTTCTAGTGGTTTATAAAGACCAGGTCCTTTCAATCCAAGAAGAAAGATGAACAACTTAAGAACATAACGTGATATAAACAAACCAAATTCAGCTTCTTTAATTTTTGTACTTCTTTGAAACCACCAGTGAGGATTGTTCCATGAAATGAAAGACAAATTCTCAACAACAAATGCCAATGACCAAAAAAGCAAGAGACCAAAGGAATGTCTACTGACATGAGCCTTGAAATATCTTGCACTTTGGGAACGAAGAACACTGAAGGTTAACATCCAGGTAAGCAACATTGCAACATCCATGAACATGACATAGCCTTGAATTCTCTGTGGTTCTATGGTTCCTTTGACTATGAGGTCAGCTATAGGCACAAATACAAGACAAATGTGCAAGAACTGTTGTAAAGTGTACAAAAATGATGTACGATTATCTCCATGAACAAATCCTGCAGGGTTTGTTATCGCCTGAATAGAACTACTAGTCATTTCATATTGTTTTTTAACACATCTGTAAGGCTTTCTGCATTTACTAGATTTTCCTGGTGCACTGATAATTTCCTCCACAGAATTCGATTCTAAATCGGGCAATAAAGTTCTCCCGTGATTATCAGTCTGTAGCCTTCTCTTCTTGAACAACTCAACCAAACCAAGCAACAATATCAACAGAAGCAGAACAGCTGGTGGAATGGTTCCCATGATGCATCTTGGTAGACCGGTGTCTTTGGACACAAGACTTAGCAAAGTTTCATTGAAATCACAGTAAAGAGAACAAATTGCCATTGTGGCAATAATCAGTCAGTTTCTGTCAACCTGTTGAGACAATATCAGATAATATGGTACGAAGTATTGTTCTGATCCCAATAGCTAAAAAGGTGGATATTTTTCTTTGGTCGATAAACCAACCATGCAGTAATTTGGTAGTGCCTATCTACCAGATTATGAATTAGCCTGTGAATAGCTTTATCCACTCTCTGAGCACTCAGGTATTGAAGAAGTGAGGTGAAATCTCATTTAATTATTGTAAAACTCAAACAACAATGACCTGGTGAATTATGTGCAGAATGATTGTTTTATCCTCAGCAATCACATGGTTGATGGAGGATCAAAGCACCACAAACTATTGTACTTAGATAGCCGAATACAATTAAGATTTTTCTTTTCGACTCAGTTTACTGAACAAAGTCATATTTCAGCTAAGTTCCTAGATTCTGAATAATACAATAAATACAATTTAGTTTTGACTTAACGAAAACTTGCTAAAGTCCATTTCAGTTTTTAGACATCTCAGTAAGGCTTCTATTGTGTGGAATCTCCTTACCCCAGATCTCGCAAACACATCCAATGTCAAGAACTATACAAGAATGGCCTCCAAATCGAACAAATTACGTAACTTAGACTTTCAGGCGGAATCTCCGCAAACAATGCCTCACAATAATGATAACGATTTTCTATATTATTGAGACGATTTTAATATATTTTTATTCCTTAGGTTTTAGTTTAAATGCACGACCCCATAAGCGGCAACGCTTTAATCACCATCGTGTTGAAATAAAAGTTGTTGTTGTTGTTGTTGAAGGAACGATGAACATACAGCGACAAGTCTGTATCATAATGAATTCTACGATTAACTGACTCTTATTTAAGTCACGATACATGAGTAGATTTATTTTCTTTTCACAGCAGAATATATATACCCCTGACCTAGAATCCTACTACACCAAATAAGCTCGCCTCAGTCGAGCCTGTTACATTTGTGCACATAAAAAGTGCACCAGAGAAATCTCATTTTTAAGCTCACAATAACTACGAAGACAACATAATTTACCTGGTCTGAAACTTGTACTTCTTCTAAATCACTGCAAAGTCACAATGAGATCACGATGCATTTTACTATACCATTTTACGGGGAGGTTAATCGCGTCATGATGCGTCGGCTAAAATATATCCCACGGGTGGTGAAGTTTGGAGAGCGTACTCTACTATACCGTCGGGTCTATCGACCAGTCTCTCAGGGGACCTCTCGGGAAATTGGATTATTGATTGGTAATATTTTACTTGTGGGTGCATAAATACAGCAACGGGTAAAACAATTTCAATTTCTTTCAGTTGAAAATTTCAAACAAGTTTAGATAGGTAAATGTCAAAACACAAACTGAGGAGAAAGAGGTTTGGTGTAACAAGACTACTATACGACCTGTTCCGACGAACCCTAACGACTCTACCGACCATAAAACGATCATTATGCTGAGTCCAAAAATCGCAGGCTCGCGTGTTTTCGAAAGAATGCGACGAATTTGTATTTATCACTCAGAAATAAAAGATGAAGTGAACTGATGGCCTTATTTTGAAGTAGCCGGTTGCAAAGCCGTGTTTCCCTGATTAAAAAGGAAACTAGCTTACTCTTCAGCACCTGCCATGTACAGATTAAGCAGAAGATTTCGTAGACGATTTGGGAAGGACAAAGAAGAGAAGAAGGATAAACATGCATTGGACTATGTCATCGTTCTACTCGATAGCAGCGATCTCTCGTTCAATTTGCATGTAAGTTTTGATGATGTATTAGTTCCTAACAGCTTACATTAGTAAGAACGGTGGAAGCTACCATTATTGACACGATTTTGGGCAATTTGTTTTGGCGTGTAACTAAAATGATTTGTTGTCTTCGACGAATTCACGCAAATGATATATGGCTGCATTTCCGCCAGTAAAGTTTCAAACTTTTCTTTTGTAATTTAATGTCAAGTTTTGAAAGGAATGTTCCAGAAGAGCTAATATTTGTAGAAGATATAGGAAACAGTGGACTCTTTGTTGGTTTTATGGCTGTATGTCTATGAGATAAGATCTAACTGTCTTTGAATGTTTTTTAATTTATACTAGGTCGTTGCAGAGTTCAATATACGTTGAATTTACTTGAGCACATTTCATGTTTACAAGTATCTTAGAGATCACACCACCTGTTTGGCAAACTGTTTTTCTTTTCCTCATGGAAACTTAACCATAATCCGAAAGCAAAAAGACATTCCATTCTGCAAGAGCAAGCATCATTAACCTTTAACTTTAAATTTACATGTTTCAACGGGGCGTTCCGGCGAAGCGATTCTTACCATAGGTTTATTTTTTTAACTGTCTCTAAACATGTTGGTCGTGATGAATCATGACAATTTTTTTTCTCGGCTCAGTGTCGTTTTTTAGCGCCTGATTACTTTTAAAAAGACGTATTCTTTTGCTGGAATATTACGAGTGCCCTTGTTTCAACGTTTGATTTAATAATACCGATGTATTTGCGCGCAGTGATATATTGCAGACCACTGAAATTGAAATTTTATTGCAGCAATGTTGAATATAATTTAAGAGAAAGTGTCAATCAAAAGGTAGATAACGATAGAGAAATCACGCTATTATTGTGTGTTTATTGCTTTTTATTCATAACCTTATCTTTGATAACTATTTGTTAATTTGATTACTGTGTTTTCTTTTGCCCAGTTGTGAAATAAAATCCTATAATTACTTTTCAATAGACAGATGTCTTTTAGGTCCAAATTTTTCTGTAGCTGGTTTCTTGACAATGTTTCAGAGTGCATTTGAGGTTTTTTCAATGGAATCTTTACCTGTGTATTCTCAATAAACTGCATGATTTTTTGGTATTAGGTTATAGAAGTAGTATGATACTCATCACATTTCCTTCCGTCCAAGGCATCAAGGAGTCAATTGTAATAATATTGTGAACAATTGATAACCAGGACAAAAGCAATATCCAGAAAGACATGTTTAGTTTTTTGTTTTTTAGTTATCAACTAAACCAAGGAGGTTTTCCTTTGAAAGAGTTATTTATTTTAGTGTTCAAGTGGCAAATGCGAGCTAAATGAAATATTTTGAATTAATATACATGTGGCTACTTATACATTTGATTGTCATTTGACTAATTTAAGTAACAGTTACAGACAACAAGACATAGTTCAATATGACCAAGATTTTATTTGAGTTTTTTTCATGGCTCCTCTATTTGAAAATCATAAGGAATTTGTCTTTGTCATTGAAATGGTACACTACAAACTTATATGTGTATCAACACTGATTCATTGAATAACAGTTTGGGACCAATTGGGTAATAGCAAGGTTGTAGCCATTTCATAGTTATTGACTTCAAATGGCTGCTGTGATCCACAGCCAACAAAGTTGTATGAATGTGACAAGTAAAAGAATGTAATGGCTTCCATGTAGCTCACTGTGGTTAATCATTCTTCTTAAACTTTTTAGAAAAAGGCCAAAGGACAAGAACTTCTTGACCTTGTTTTTAAGAACCTGGATCTTGTAGAGAAAGACTACTTTGGTCTTCAGTTTATGGACACACATCAAGTTTCGGTATGGTTATTAATTCTTCTTCGCAACCCTCTTGAGATTGAGAGGGAATTTTCATCTGATCAAAAGGAAGTGGGTATCACTGTTCCTGGGGTGAGGGCATGTCCAATGGAGAAAAAGATCATTTGGGGTTAGGGTTAATTTTTTGGCAAATACATGATATTACATATTCATTGCTAGGTGAAGTAAGGATAAATCTCTATGAAGACCTTACAAGTACACAGGATTCAATAAGCTTTTCCATAAGCAGCTTCTAACAGTGTAATAAATGGCTGTGCCCAGAGAAGGCACTGTATAAGGCAAAACCCAAACATGAGAAGTGTCTGGCAGGCCCAACAGACAGCAGGAAGAGTTCTTATGGGCTGTGGTAGACCTTTGGTAACTGGCTTTATCAAAAACCCTGTAATTATAGGACAATTTTGTCTTGAACAAGCTTACAATTCTAGTTGTAGTAATATATATAATAATAATAATATAGTAATAATATAATAATATTGTAAATATATGACTTTCATATATTCTTAACCATTATAAATACTTATTGCTGATGTAAACTTTATCCATTTTCCTGACAGCATTGGTTAAATCCTATGAAAAAAATCAAGAAACAAGTCAAAAGTAAGAATTTCTACACTTCTTCCTTTTATATCCTGTGATTCAGAACTGTTCAGAAATGAGAAGCAAAGAAAATCCTACTTTTTGTGAGATAGGTTTTAATCTGTAAATGTCACATGTTTGTCCCTTGTGCTGGTAAGATTTGTATCAAATTATTTATTATAATCTTTTGTTTGAATAAGAATAATAAGTGTTTTTACAAATGCAAATATGTAATTATAATTAAATTCTTAATATTATTTTCCAGTTGGTCCTCCATATACATTACACTTCCGAGTCAGATTTTATGCTGCAGAACCACAAGACTTGACAGAGGAACTTACCAGGTAAATATTCTGCAACAAACAAGCTTTCTAAGCTGCAATAGTTGCCATGGCAAGAAGGAAATAATTAAGGAATGAAAATGTGAAGAAGGTCATCAATTCAAGAACCAATAAACAAGTTGAAACTAAACATAATAGAGATTTCATTGTCAATGCTCTGAAGTTGAGGTGAAATAGACTTTTGCATGAAATGTTATTGACATTTAAATGTCTTAACCTTATGTAAGATTTCCTTCCTTCACCATGGTTGTTCTGGTATTAAGCTTTGTTTGAGATGTTGCCTGTGATAGACAGTCAAACTGTTAACAGTCATAACAAGGTGATTTGGTATTATCAACTGAGTTGACAATGTAAATTGGCCACTGTTGAGAGTTTCAAAGCTGACATTTCAAGCATTAGCCCATCATCAGAACAGATGTAGGAATTGTGGGTTGTGTGTGTGTTTATATGCAGAAAATTGAGCTATACTATCGGAGGGAACATGGAAATGAGAAAAACAAGAATAAATTAGTTGAATGAAAAGCATTCACTGATACTTTGGAAATTAGGAATATCAATTTGAAAGATAAATTTTTGTCCTAGAGTTTTGTGGCTTTCCAAAGTGCCTAGATGTAGGGAAAGCCTGCCAACTGCTCAGAAAGATTAGGGAAATTTAAGTGTCCAGTGACTGGTTCGGATGGGTCCTTGTCATTGCTTTCTATGTTGCAAAGGTGCTCTCAGAATTGGTCACCTAGCTGTCTTCCTGTTTCACTAAGAAATAAGTGCAAGTTATGCAGTAGATAACATTGGTGGAGGTGCACTTGAAGTTATCAGTAATCTTAATGGATCTCTTGGGTCCCGACATTTTCTCTATGTTATGAATGCATTGTGCGCAGGCGAATTTGAAAGGTTCAGGGTGATCATTAGTTTGTAATGAACTTCTATTGTGTTTTGAATAAAATTGGTGGAGGTTGCAAAAAGATATACCCAAACCATTTTGAAATAATTTAAAGTTTTTAAGAATGATAGATTTAACTGTGTGGTTAAGGTTGCAAAATTCAAATTTTGAGTTGGGAGCCCTGCAAATGTTACATGTGCATTGAAAAAGTTTAAATATAATCTATGATATATGTGTTAGTTAATGGCAGCTAATACTTCATGTTAATTTGCTTTATCAATTCCCATTTAGATATCACTTCTTTCTGCAAATTAAGCAAGATATATCCAGAGCAAAGTAAGTTTTTCATCCTTTAAAATGCAATATTTTGAATTCAAGATGTTATTATTTTTTATGAGAAATTTATAAACAGGCATATAATGTGTCAATAGAAACTACTTCCTACTAAAGATATATACTGTATGCTTAAGATTGACATCTTTTTCCAGGCTTGAGGTTCCACTCAAGGTTGGTGTTGACTTGACTGGCTACAGTTTGCAATGTAAGTTTTGAACATCCTTTTGAAAAGTAATTTGTCTGTGTTTGTTGTGAGTAGAAACTTGCAAATTGCCAAAAAAAATTCATGGCATCATCTGACCAACCTCACTTACATGCATCTGGGTCAAATTTAGTTGTTTTACTCTTTATAAACTTTCTGTCAGTCTGACATCCTTGTAGTACACTTTGCTTCTGTTGTTTTGTCTCTTTAAAAGTTTGTGTTTCTGAGTGTAAAGTTTTTCTTAGATT